TTGATATGGAGAAGTCCTATGGAAAGCTTGATACCATGAACCAATACGTTAAAAAAGAAACAAAATTAAATTGTTAGGTGCAGCTGATAGTTCTATCCTATCCTTATCCTTGCCTTATATTTATTTTTATTTTTTATTTTTATACTTTTTACATATTTTATTCCTATCTTATCTTTAAAAAAAGATGAGTCGCTGACATCCAGCGTTGTAATTTGTTCATGCAAAAATAGAACGCGAAATTTTGAATTTTCCTAAATATTATTATTATTATACATCAAAGATTGTAAGATTTCTATTTTAGCGATAAATTCAATTTATGAATAATTAACATGGATAATAAACTGCAAGAATGGAAATATGTTAGTAAATTGGTTTAAGAACATAAGACGTTATGTTTTGAAATTATTTGTGCAAATTGTTAATTTTATAACCATCTCTGATACTACAATCAATATCGTTGTGTTAAAATTTGGTAGAAAGAAAAAGAGAATGAATAAAAATAAAATAGAGACTACATATTTATCTTCTGTATATTTGAAATTAAAACGTATGCGAACAAAGGAAATTAATTATCAAAATATTAAGTCCGTTAAATTAGAAGAATATTCACCGGTGTTTTCATAGTGGCAGCAAAAAGTACACGATGTTAAATGTATTACTCATACTAATATAAGATTGGAGCCATAATCACTACTATTGAATATGTAAGTTTAGTGTTGTATAATAGTATAATAGTATAATAGCATTATTGATCTTAGGTCGAATTAATCTTTTGAATAATTTTTCCGATATATCTTGAAATGAGTAAAAGTTCATCGATTTTTGAGAAAAAATGTGTGGCAAGCGCACCGAGTATTCGAACCAACATTCGAACGTGGTTGAGAAACAAAAGTGTGAGCATAGCAACGAACATTCATTTCATTTAATAAAAAAACATTTCTATAGTCAGTCTGTCAATTGTATTTTTAATAAACAGACAGTTTAATATTAACTAATTGACATATTATTAATCGGAGTAAACTACTCGAATAAATAGCCATTTATTCCTATATTGGTGATCCCGACAATAAATTGTGTTACAATTCAAGCCTTGGCGAGAATTGTGGTATTTTGTTGGTGAATTTTCTTTTCGCCATCGTAGAAGATTATAGCCTCATCACAAGATGCTTCGCGACGAGGGTCAACTTGTGGTTCTACGTGAGGAAAACGAGCTGCTTCAACGGCAGATCAAGGAACGACGTCAACAAATGGAGGATCGAGTACAAAATTTACAACCGCAGGAGTTGCAGGAACCACCGCCGCAGCAGCAGCAGCTACAAGAACAACAGCAGTTGCAGCCTCAAGGTGTCATCGCTGACACCGTCAACCAACGCCATGCAGTACATCGTGTCGCTATGAAATTGCCACCGTTTTGGTCAGATAAACCAAGCTTGTGGTTTGTTCAAGTTGATTCTCAATTCACGCTTTCTGACATCACTAATGAAGTAACAAAATTTCATTATGTTGTTTCTTAATTAGACGCTCGTAATGCATTGAAAGTCGAGGATGTTATTAAAAATCCTCCTCAATTAAACCCCTACACATATTTACGCACAAAAATAATTGAGCGATTATCTGCGTCTGAGAAACAACGTGTCCGCCAACTCATCAGCGCGGAGGAGCTAGGCGATCGTAAACCTTCCCAGTTTCTTCGGCATCTCCAATCCCTTGCTGGTACAACTATTGTGCCGGATAACCTCTTACGTCGGCTTTGGCTTCAACGTCTTCCGCAAAACGTCCAGGCTATCCTTGCATCACAGTCTGAGTTGGCGATCGATAAACTTTCTGAGCTCGCCGATAAAATCAGCGAAGTTTCGCCTTGTCCTCCGAATTTCTCGGTCAACGCTGCATTGAACAACAAAGGTACTGAAAACGATTTATTAAAAGCGGTTGCTGAACTACAAAAACAAGTCGCTGAATTGGTTGCTTTTCGTTCGCGTTCTCGAAATCGTCACGGTTATCACAACAATTCTCGTAACCAAATTAAATCTCAAAACCGGGACGATTTTAACAAAAAAACAGACGAGGTTTGTTGGTATCACAAAAAGTTTCAACAAAATGCTAAAAAGTGCGTCAAGCCTTGCAAGTTTTCGGGAAACGACCAAAGCAGTCCGTAAGGACGGCATCTGACTGCTCTTCATCTAGTAGCCGTCTCATTGTTGTTGATAAAGTAACCAAAAATTGTTTCCTCGTCGATACAGGTTCTGATTCATGCTGTTTTCCTCGTCGTTTATTACGAGACCGTCGTTCTCCTGTTAACTACGAGTTGTGTGCTGCAAACGGAACCAAAATAAAAACGTATGGTTTTCTAAACTTAAATTTTAACCTAGGACTTCGTCGTGATTTTCCATGGAGATTCATCGTCGCTGACGTCGATCTGCCGATAATTGGCTCTGATTTTCTCGCTCATTATCACCTTTTACCGGACTGCCATACAAAACGTATCGTCGACGTAACCATTGGTCTTCGATTACAAAGTTTATTTCAGCCTTTTTCGCAGAGCAGTATCAAAGTGGTTCAGGATTCTTCACCATACGCTGCTCTTGTGTTTGAATTTTCTGAAATCACTCGTCCTCCGGGTTTACCTCGAAACATCAAACACGAAACCGTCCATCACATTCATACTACTCCTGGACCACCGGTTACAAGTAAAGTTCGCCGATTATGTCCTGAAAAATTAAAAATTGCTCGCAAAGAATTTGACTACATGTTATTAGCTGGCACAACTCGTCCTTCCGAAAGTTCTTGGTCTTCTCCACTGCATTTAGCACCAAAAAGTGACTCATCTTGGCGTCCCTGTGGTGACTTTCGAAAATTAAACGCTCGAACGATTCCGGATCGTTATCCGGTTCGTCATATCCACGATGCCACTTATTTTATCGATGGATGCATCATCTTTTCTAAGATCGATCTTGTAAAAGCTTATTAACAAATTCCAGTTGCTGAAGAAGATATCGGTAAAACTGCCATCATCACACCATTTGGTCTTTTTGAATTTCCATTCATGACGTTTGGACTTCGAAATGCTGGCCAAACTTTTCAAAGGTTTATGGACGAAGTTTTGCGTGGTTTGGATTTTTGTTTCACCTATATGGACGACATTCTCGTTTTCTCTCGTTCTAAAGAAGAACATGAGCGTCATCTTCGAATTATTTTCGAACGTCTTGCAAAGTACGGCCTAGTTATCAATCCACAGAAGTGCATCTTTGGAGTTCAAGAGGTTAATTTCATTGGTTACACCTGTTAAATATTGTTATTTAGGATCGATAAATTAATGTTCATTAATTAATATTTTATACTTTAAGTTATAAATAATATAATGTTTATTATATAACTACAATGTTAAATATTTTTATAAATTATGTTACGTTTCATTACGTAATGTATAAGAGCCATTACGAGATGCGCTCGTTCTAGTAATGTGTCGGACTAACTAAACTGCTCGCGCTCTATTCACACATACATATGTCGCTGCGTGCGCATCCTCATACTCATAATCGCTTGTATACAATATATAGATACACTCTTTATACAGCATACACAATTACTTCAAAAACTAACAACACCATTTCTGCTACTGGCATTCGAGCCCCAGAAGAACGAGTAAAGGTGATTCAAGATTACCTTTTACCAAAAACAGCTCAAGATCTTCGCCGTTTCCTGTGAATGTTGAATTTATACCGCAGATTCATACCTTATGCCTCTGAATATGAAAGTCCTCTGCACGGTGCAATCAGTAATCCATTATTGAAAGGCGCTCAACCAATCACATGGACACCTGAACTTGAAGAAGCTTTCATAACCTGCAAGAACTGCATTTCATCTGCTTCACTTCTTGTTCACCCTCGCATTGGTGCACCTCTTGGTTTATTTACAAATGCCTCGAATCACTCTGTTAGAGCTTGTTTACAGCAGCTTGTTGGTGACGTATGGCAGCCTCTCGCTTTCTTCTCTAAGAAAATGTCTACAAAAGAAAGTTCTTGGCCTGCTTATTATCGTGAACTTCTGGCTATCTACGTTGCGATCCAACACTTTCGCCATCTTCTGGAAGGGTACCAATTCACGATCTTCACAGACCACAAACCATTAATTTACGCCTTACAGCAAAAACGTGAAAAGCTCCCGCCAATTCAACTCAATCAATTCTCGTTCATCGCAGAATTTTCAACGGATATACAACATATCAAAGGTACCGATAATGTCGTTGCCGATACTCTTTCTCGGATCGAAGCCGTTTCTGCACCATTTGATTTTGAGTTGCTAGTTAAATCTCAAGAAAAAGACGAAAAACTCAAGAGAATTACTAAAAAAAACTATTCTCTCAGCATTGAACGTGTGCCGATTCCTGGTACCTCACTTACGGTGTTTTGTGATACATCGACAGGAAAACCTCGGCCTTTCATCACACAGCCTTTTCGTCGTGACATCTTCAACCAACTGCATACTTTGAGTCATCCCGGCGCAAACGCTTCACTCAAATTAATCAGCGATCGATTTGTTTGGCCTTCCATGAATAAAGATTGCCGAAATTGGGTTGGGCTCGTACTTGCAGTGATTGTCAACGATAAAAAATTACTCGCCATGTTTACGCTCCACTTGGAAATTTCGAGACTCCAACGAAGAGATTTTCACACATCCACATCAATCTGATTGGCCCACTTCCACCTGCACGTACTTTTCGATATTGCTTGACTGTCATCGATCGTTTTACTCGATGGCCCGAGGTTTATTCTTTAGAGAACATAACTGCAGACACTGTGACTCAAGCACTTTTAGATTGCTGGATATCTCGTTTCGGCTTTCCAGAAACTTTATGCTCAGATCGTGGTCCTCAATTTACTTCACACCTCTTCAAGAATTTTATCAAACTCTTCGGAATCCGACACAACTTCACTACAAGTTAGCATCCTGCTTCGAACGGTTTGATCGAACGCTTACACCGCCATTTAAAAGCTGCAATCATGGCTCATTCTGACATCAATTGGGTTCAAACTTTGCCTCTGGTACTTCTTGGTATTCGTTCTGCTTTTAAAAAAGATATCAAGGCTACTTCAGCAGACATGGTCTATGGAGAAACTCTTCGTTTACCTTTTGAACTGCTTTCTTCAAACCTTGAAAACAAGAATCTCGGCGATCCAAGCAGCGTCCTCTCAAGTTTACGAGAGTTCATGTCACGCTTACGCCCAACACCAGCATCAAGACACTGTTAATCTGGCGTTTTCGTTTTCAAGGAGCTCTCCAAATGCAGTCATGCCTTTTTGAAACAAGGACCTTTTCTAAAGGCACTCCAACCACCATACACTGGCCCATACGAAATCATGGATCGAAACACAAAAACGATTACACTCAAGATCTGTAACAAACCTACCAAAGTCTCTATTGACCGAGTGAAACCCGCATCCATTTTGCAAGATGATGTCACACCTGTTCCTGTTTCTGTTCCTGATGCTGTACCTACAGAACCAATTCCTGTTCCTGTTTCTATTCCTGATTCTGTACCTACAGAACCAATACCAGTTCCTGTTCTTGATGTTATGCCTACAGAGCCCACGCAAATTCCCGAACGCACTACGCGATTTGGCAGAAGAGTCAAATTTCGAGACATTTTAAATTTGTAGCCAAATTCTCTGCCAAGGGAGGTAGTATGGCGAGCGCACCGAGCATTCGAACCAACATTCGAACGTGGTTGAGAAACAAAAGTGTGAGCATAGCAACGAACATTCATTTCATTTAATAAAAAAACATTTCTATAGTTGTAATAGTGTCGGCGTGCAATGCCGATATATTCACTACTATTACCAATTATTTATAAAGGGGGAAGGCAAGGGAGGCGGTGTATCGCTCCAGGCAAAGCAAGAAGGAGAACAACGGGCAGAATAAATTCACACACACAACTCGTTGACAAACCGTTTATTACAACGCACTACCTAGAGTGCCGGCGAAAGTACAAACACTTATTAACAATAACGCACATACTTAATCTAAACGAGATAACCGGCACGTTAACCGGCTCAAACGATTACTTGAATTACGCACTGTCGAAAGCTACGCCGGCTCGGGGAAGCCTGGCGTCGCAACGCGAACCGTGAGAATCGCCGAGGAGAGGAAGAGATATAAAGAGAGAGAGAGGAATCGATGACCTGACCAATTTCGGCGGACGTCGCTGTTGCTGGCAGCCTCGAAGATGTCCCACCGACGGCCTGGCAGGAAAACCCTTGGCTGCTGTGCAGCCGGTGATCTGGCAGAAGAACCAGCCGGGTACCGTCCTGATGGTGGCTTCTTGCAGGAACCTCCTGACTGCCGCGTCGCTGGCAGAGAAAATCCGTCCGGCTTATCTGTTGAGGAATACCAACTTCTTCCCGAACAAAGGGCGCAGGCTTCGCAGCGATGGTCACCAACTGATATGGCCGATCTCTCTCGTGTGCGTCGCGTAACTCACTGTCGCGAGTGCATGAGAGCCGGCTTCTCACGCCTTCTTCCACCACTCGCCTCCTAATCGGCGGCACGCGGCAATGCCGGTCACGACAAGTGCCGCGCGCCAAGCCCAACCTAGACTATAGTTTCTCTCTCTCTCTCTCTCTCTCTCTCTCTCTCTCTCTCTCGCACTCTCAATATTCGGTAGCATCGTCGCGTCCCTGTCCTCGTCCTCCGCTCTCGTGCGTTGCTGAAAATGAAAAGGGCAGGCATCAGGCACGTGATAACAACGTGCGCTTGATGCCGGCCGTGCGCCTTTGCCTAGGAAGGAGAGGGAGATAAGCACACGGTGCAGGCCATGACAGGCCTACACCGTCACATAGTCAGTCTGTCAATTGTATTCTTAATAAACAGACGGTTTAATATTAACCAATTGACTTATTACTAATAGGAGTAAACTACTCGAATAAATAGCCATTTATTCCTATTAATTTTATAAATGGGTGTATGTTCTATTTTTATTCATCAATAAATATTGACGTATGTAGTCTATTTTAAACAGCATGATTTATTCGTGTCCATTGAAATCTTGAAGTTGACATATAAAAGGTTCCAATAATATAATAAATAATAGTAAAACATTAAAAAAAAGCTCGTAAAGCGCGCTAAATAACGCTAGTACTCGTATGAATTAAATATGCATGTTTAACTGCAAATCATAAAACGATAAGCTTCATTGTCAATTTCATTTCACAAACTGACAACTCATAATTATAGAAAAATGAAATTCCAAAAAAATATACTATCACAAGGTTTAGATTAAATAACCATCGTTAATTCATTTTCATTGCTAGATTTATAACTAGTTTGATTATTTCTTGATGTTTCTGCTTTGATTTTTTGATAACTAATTCTTTTATCTACTGATATCGTAACTCAAACTAATTTACGATTATAAAAAGTTAATTGAAATAGTCATCACTGAATTTTTCTACTTTAAGATCAACTACTTTTACATTTTCAATTCATTTTGGACCTATTATGAGATTTTTATTTTTTATTTCTTTCAGATTTATTATCTCTTTAGAAAAGCACCAAAAACGTCAGTTTTAGAGTAGCATTAAATGTAAGAAAAATGAGTGAAAAGCTACTGGATATAAGAAATATGTTACATCACAAGTGATGATTTATGATTTCAAGAAATTTGTAACTTAGATGCTGAAATTGAAAATTACATATGGCACACTTGTTACATGGTTTATTCATTAAAAAAAGTAGTAAAAAAATCAGCTGCACTAAAAGTTCCATGCTCAGCTCTTAGACAAATATCTATTTCTTGTTCTGCTAGTTCATCTCAAAATACCGATGCAAGAGATCCTCCTGTAATATTTCCTGGAAAAAAGGCTGTAAAGGAGGAGCCTATTGATATGTCTATATCAAGTTGTATTGCTACTGATAACTATTGTTCTTTATGCGAAAAAATTGCTAATCTTATAAAAATATCATTTGAAGAAAGTCTTCAAGTATTTACAAAGAAAAACATTTTTATTCATTTAGATAAAAAGTTCTGCAAAACGCGCATGATTAAGAAACGTCTTTATGAAGATGATAAAGAGCTTACTGATAAAATTTGAGATTATTCTTTGCTCGAAGAACGTCTTATTATGTTCACACGTTTCATGTGAGAAAATTTTTACGTATTACGTGAAATAATATTTTCGTGATTCTAATTCGCGGAATGTGATGCTAGCTATTGTTGTACTCGTATTCTTGTTCAGAGTATGTTCAGGCAATAATAAAAAGTTTAATAACCTAATTTTTTCTATACTCGGCTTAGAAAGTCCCCGACAAGTCTCAGATTCTTCAAAATCAGTATCAAATTCATTCAACAAAGATGTGCTACCATCACGATTTGGAATAAAAACATTGAATTGAAGATATTTAGTTGAAAATCAAACAACACCATTTGTAAAGTTATTGCATGATATTAGTGAGGAGCAATTGATACGAGTGATTGACGGCACATATCTTACTCGTACAAGGGAAGGTCCGTAGGTGTTCAGTGCTAAAGTGCTTGCTATTAGGTGGAAAATGTTCCTTGTGGTACCCACAACAAGGATTAGCTTGTCTTGAGCCCTACCGTTTGGGTATTTTTGTGTACCACTTCCTTAAAGCTTGAATTTTGAAAAAAATAAAATTTGAAAAAAAAAAAATTATGAAAATTACTGAATAATTTTGATACAAACATATTGAAATTACTCTCCTTCAGTATTACGCAAAGCCAATGATGGGGACGTGTAAAGACAAAGTGACTCTTTTTTTTTCATTTTTTTAATAAAAAAATTTTTGTTTCAAAATTTATTTCTGTTATTTCTAAAAAGTATAAAATTAAACATTTATTCAGTCTTCAATTTCACATTCATTCAGTGTTAACATATTTTTCTATAAAATAGCTCAAACATAAAAGTTTGTTACAATGTGTACATTTTATGAATGCTAGACTATCACATTCAAAGCAATGACTAAATATTTCTTTTTTATTGAAATAAACTTAATTTACATTTTGAAATGTTCCTGGATCAGTAACGGTGTAACCACTTTTGTACGAAGCGTATTGAAGCATTGGACGAATAATTCCTGCTGTGAGCTGATTGTGAACAAGTGAATACATCTTTCAAAAAAATAGTCAGTAGGTAAACTAGAGAGGCCATAACTCAGAAGGGTATCGGCTCACTGAGTTCAGATGTACTCCCTGAGTTGATGCCTGTACATCTTCAGCTCAGTACTCTCAACTCACCTCACCTCCCCCTACTGAGATGCCGGTGTATTGTCGACTTACCTTCACCCTCCTACTGAGTTATACCGGTGCGTTCTATGCACTCCCTCCTCCCCTACTAAGCTGATGTGCTCTGATGCCGAGAGTTCTCCCCCCTCCCCCGCCCCTACTGTACTGAGATGTCCGGGCGTTCTACGAACTCCCCCCTTCCGCTCCCCTGCAGTGCTACGATGCCCGTGCGTTCTACGCACTCCTGTGCTGATGTGCTCTGACGCCCGTGCGTTCTACGCATTTTCCCCTCCCCCTATTGATCTGATGTGCTCTCGATACCCGCGTGTTCTTTGTTACGTGTTTTGATTTTTATTGTGTGTGTGTTTGTCTTAAATTTTTAGATATATCGGAAAAAATATTGACGGATCAAGGGATCGAACGCGCGTCCTCTGGATCCGCAGGCCGATGCTCTACCGCTAGAGCCACTGTTACTGGTACGACGGACAATTTTTATTGTGTATATTAGCTACACGATTTATATAGGGGCCCAAGCGCTAATACATACAAATAATAATAATAATAATGCTGTTATATATATATATATATATATATAAATTTCTTCTTTTTATTATATACACTAATTATAATAAATAATATATATATTATTATAATAAATTTAATAAATATTATATATATATATATATACAGGGTGTCCCATTTTAAAGGAACCACCCCGAAATTTTCGACGATTGTCGTTGTACAAAAAAATTGTTCAGACAACAGTTGTTTGGGACAATGGGGGCAACCTTTCTGTGAAATCCGATTTGACCTTGAGATTTATTTTCAAGGTCATTTGAAGGTCAAACTCATTTTTTTAATAGGATCCTATATTTTTGATCCTGGATTCGGAAAATTCTACGTTTAGATAACGTATTATGTGTGAGGTGCGGTTAACCCCCCCCCCACGCCTAAGGTCATGTAGGCGTCAAATTTATGATTTTCTTCATCTATGCACAGGGATGATCGGGCAAGGGTAAGGTTAATTGTAATAACCCAATACCTCGATAACCCAAATAACCCAATAATCCAATAACCTGATAACCCCAATATTTCAATAACTCCAATATCCAAAAAAAAATGTAGGGTCAAACAAGAGTGACCTTGAGCTTAAACGTCAGGTTGATGTGAGTGTCTCATCTACCAAAGATCGTTTAATAGAAAAAAAAGTGCAAGTACCTGTATAGACAAAGATGAAAAAAATGCAACACAAAATCCTGCTTACCTTCAATAAAAAATCAATATCAATAAAAAATACATCTTATTCTACATGTTCTTAAAAAATACATGTTATTCCATAAATTATTAACTTAAAAAACAAAATCACTATAGAAATCCTTCAACGACTTCATCGCTTTCTTCCCAATCCATACAACAACC